TTCACTTACAGATATGAAAATTATATGCAGCACGCACTAGAGCACATGCACAAAGCACAGGTGGCGATGATCAAATCTGAGAACAAGCACAGCCGCCCATCTATGTTTCAGGTAGGGGACACGGTCTGGGTCAAGGCTTCTGAACTGGGACAGGAGCACGGGATTTCCCGAAAGCTCATGCCACAATACTTTGGACCGTGGGAGGTTTTAGATATAGTTGGGGATGAATCAGACAGACCTTCATATGTTATTCGGATTCCCGGGCATCTTCGCACTTACCCTGTTTTTCACGCTTCTAAGCTTGCACCTTTCAAAGAAACTGGCCAGTTCCCTTCGCAACGCTCAATGCTGCCCCCAACCATGGATGGAGAGGTCGACATTGATGAAATCGTGGATCACAGAGAAATGCCAGTTCCAAGACCGACTGGCAGGGGACGTCCTCCAAAACCGAAGCTGCAGTACCGAGTTTGGTTCAGACATCACACTGATCCAAAGGAGGATAGGTGGTTCACAAGGGAGAAACTGATGCAAGCCGCTCCACAGGTTGTCGCTCGCTATGAGAAGTCTCTGCAAAAAGGAAAGCGCCAGATTATTGAAGATTGAACTTCTCAGAGGACTAGCGAAGTATGGAGGAGGGAATGCGAGGCATAGGCCTCGATAAGCCCTACTGGGCCCCTACTTGCAACTGGTCAGCCACCCTAAGTGAAGGCAGGCCCGGCAGACAACAAGAGGCCTATTTTTGACTACTTCGCAACTGGGGAAAATTCAGGCAGTTGCGCAGCGCCAGTTGGTTGAAGGCACGCAGGCCCTGGCCTCCTTTATCGACTGTATCTAAGTCAGGCCCTGGGCGAGATACGCAGCATAGGCCCAACTCAGACAGCGGGCAGTTGGGGCCGGGCAACTGTCGGTGGCCCTGGGCCTGATTCGTTTGGTCTGAGGCTCAGCCTCCCTGGGCCTACCAGAAGCTTCTGGGCAGGAACCTAGCACAGCCAGGCTGCACGTAAGCAGGCTGGCCATTTCCATTTAGGAAAGGGGCAGACTATGCATTCGGCATTCGGGCACTGTCTGCTTTGTGCGCAAGCGCTGCTTCGCTATCGCCTGCCAGGCTCACGCGCTCACGTGTGAGCTGGAAGGAGCAGGCAGCCATAGCCGAGCTGCGCTGCTGTATGCTGGATGGGGCGCATGGTGGTCCTTGGGTGCAAGTGGCATCTGTGAGTTGGGGAACGAGGTTGTGAGTGATACGAGAGACATACCTGGTGCTTGAAGCGTGCGGCATTGGCCGAGATCTGCTCGTACTTCGGGGAGCTGTTGACGTCATCAGCGGCATTGTAGAGTAGGCTAGATAGGATCTGCCATCTGTGCTTGAAGCGCGCGGCATTGGCCGAGATCAACATTGGTTCTTCGTTGATGATGATGATGAGACTATTCCAGCATTGTCAATTATGAGCTTTTGGTCTCTCTTATTTGGTGAAACTCGTGATGCAATTCTGCTTTTGGTTCGAGGTCACGACTTTCTGGTCTCATGTGTATGATGCTGTTTGATTGCTGAAGTTCTCTATTGCTCATCTTCCTTGCAGAAGTAGGACGTGGAGTAGATCGGTCACATCACAGGAGGGTTACTACATTGTTGTTGTATTGATGATTGGAGGCAAGAAGTCGGGCTTTCTTTATCACGGGACTTCAGTGTTCTATTTGCTCATAATTGGTGTGCTATCGGGTTTGGTATTCTGTTTGCAACTCGGCTCAATCATGCTTGTTGTTCTACTAGCCTTTGCATTTTGGAGAATTGATGTTCTCATAGCTCCTTGGAATTTGGTATCAGAGCAAGACTCATAGACAAACCTCATCCTGGTTGGTGGGTCAGGTCATATGGTGCCGGCAGCCAACCGTAGGCAGTGTGATTGACTTTCTCACCGGCGTGACCAGCCCATGCGTTGGATAGAGAACACATGGGTGGAAGTTTTCCGAGCTATGTGGCGTATTGAGGGTACATTGGTGCTTGTCGTTGCTTGTTGCAGTATTGGCATTGTACTGCCAGTGGTTCCTGAGCATTGACCGGTCTTCAAATGGTGCACCATTGCAGCTGGTCGAAGAAGTAGGGAGGTAGAGTAATTTTGTCGAAGAGACAAGCCTCTTACACAAGCCACCTCCTATTTTTGAAGGCCCTGGTCATTCTCTGCCCATGGATTTCATGGACATTCTTGTGCCCAGCAGGACTGGAAACAAGCAGGTTTTTGTAATTTTATTGACAGACCTTCTAGATTGCATGTTTCATAGCATTGTCATCTGCAACTACAACAGAGCTGCTACTAAGTACTACTAACTGAATAGGCTAATCGGTGGATCAAGGGCTTTGGATGGCCCTAAAGTATAGTAAGTGATAGAGGTGTGCGGTTCACAGAGTGAACAAAGGCACGATATTATCGTTGATATAGCTAAAAGGTTAAGTTTTGAACTAAAGATGACCTTCAGAAAATAATCTTGACACCAACAAGCAAACCGAGCAAATGAGCAAACAGGGCAACAACTTCCATGACATCACATTACTCCTGGTCAACTTGATTGGGACATTAAACTGCTGCAGACAGCTGGGCTGAATAACAACGCTATCCATTCAGTAACTGGTCGCGCCCCTAACCAATTGCACTTAGGACGGAAAGCTCGGAAACCGAAAACTCCTTCGGATTTGTCGTGTCCAGGATGCCCTTGAGTATGAGAAAATGCTGCAAAATACAGTAGAACACCTGAAGAAGGCTCAAAGAACTATGATAGGAACATAAACAAATCAGGGTAGACGAACACCAATGTTCCAGGTGGGTGACAAGGCATGGGTCAAGTCATTTGACTTCACACCAGAATAGGACATTTCATGGAAGCTAATGCCCCAGTATTATGATCCCTGGATTGTCTTAGGCAGCGTAGGGAGTAATCCGGATGGCCCATCATACATGGTTGGTACATGTCCTTCCTCATTTTCGCACTTACCCTGTATTTTCTGCACCCAGACTTCTGCCTTTCTCTTCAGTGATCAGTTTTCTTCTCGACGATCAATGCTGCCCCCAACTAAGATGGCCAGGTCGACATCGACCGTATTGTGGAGCATAAGCAAATTCAATGCTGGACCCAACTAAGATGGAGAGGTCGACATCGACCGTATTGTGGAGCATAAGCAAATTCAATGCTGCCCCCAACTAAGATGGAGAGGTCGACATCGAAGGTATTGTGGAGTATAAGCAAATTCCTATGCCAAAGCCACCAGGAAGGGGACGACCACAGAACCCACAGATGCAGCACCAAGAGGCATTGAGGCATCATGTGCATCCAAGTGAGGATTGGTGCTTCACAAGAGAGGAACCAATGACAACTGGGCCTCGAATGGTTTTGCAATACAAAAGGGCTTTAAACTTTAAAGATAAAGCTACAGCAAAAGGGTTCTCAAAGGGATTCTGAAGCTGAGGGGGTCGGAATTTGAGGTCCACGCCTCTTCACACGTTAATAGGTGCCAGTGGGAAAGCCAGGCCGCCCTTAGTGAAGGTGGGCCTGAGGGAAGCGATGCCAGGCCTAGGGACAGGCCGACCAGGGAATGTTCTGGGCCCGAGAACAAGGCGCCAACCCCTGGAGCTAACCAGTAGGCCCAGGATAAAGCTAGTTGCAGAGGCTGGGCCAAACTCAGATCCAGTACGCAAGGCACAGCCTACTGGGCCCGAGCTGCAGCCTCCACAAGAAGTCGAAAGGAGGGAGGCAGCAGTAGGAAGGGACATTCAGGCAGTAAGCACTTGCAGCAGTGCTGAACAGCGCTAAGGCCAGAGGAGCAGTCCCCAAGGACAAAGAAGCAGGTATGGTCGCGGCTGGCTGGCGACGGCCATAGCTGACGAGTATGGAGACGGTTGGTCAAAAAGAGAAGGCAGGCATTCTTACCTGGCGTTGGAGGAGGAAGCCAGTGTCAGCAGAGTCTTCAAACAGCACACGGCGAGTGACAATGGACAGAGAGTGAGGTGTAGCAGGCTAACATGAGTAGAGGAAGTAGGAAGTAGAGTAGAGCGGTCAGATCACAGGAGGGCCAGTAAATTGTCATCGTATTGATGGCTGGAGGCGAGTGGTCGGGCTTTCTTTATCAAGACATTCCAGTGTTCTGTTGGCTTTGGTATTCTGCTTTCAACTCGGCTCAATCATGCTTGTTCCTTTATTTCTTATAACTCTTAGAAAAAGTGGCTACACAGGCCTGAAATTACTTGGAAAGCTGTTCGCACAATAGGACGTTTTTGACTGTATCTGACTCTATCCCTGGTCTGATGCATTCAGACCCTCCTAATGTGACCACTCTCTAAGTTAACATGGTATGTGTTTCCAAGGCATACTCAGACTTGGACTTTTGACTGCTCTCTGGAGTGTAGACATAATTATAGTCTGGTAAATAAGTTCCATCCAGAGTTGCACAGGCCAACGGTCGGCGCCCCTTGATTGGTCGGCTGCCGTCAACACCCCCATACCACACCCCCCCCCCCCCCCCCCCCCCCCCCACCCCCCCCCCCCCCCCCCCCCCCCCCCCCCCCCCCCCCCCCCCCCCCAAACCCCCCCAACCCCCCCAACCCCCCCCCCCCCCCGCCCCATACACCCCAACACCCTCATGCCTACCCCCCCCCAGTACCCCCTATACCACCCCTATACCCCCTATACCCCCGCTATACCCCCCCCCATAACCCCCCCGTACCCCCCCCTATCCCCAAAAGTTTCTCAGTGAATTTGGGCTGTACTCAGCAAGCGCATTACAGCCCTATAGTCTGATTTTACACAATCAGTAGATGGCTGTTCAGTGACTGGTCAACAGACCGCCGACCGGTTGGCCCTACCAATAGGCTGCAAAACGGTCAGCGGTCGGGGTAGGGTGTGCAGCCCTGGTTCCATCCTTAATTGCGGTCAGATACAGCCAGGAAAGTCCCACTGTGAGTATGCCCTAACATTCTTGTCAGGTTGTGACGAAATCATGGATTGATGCTTGCCTGGTTCTGTGAACATTGGTCGTGGTCGTGTCCAGTTGTATCCATGATCTAGCGAGTGCACAACACGGATCTCAGATGAACTTTGACCTTTGTATGCTTCCTGTAAGGCAAAAAATCAGAAACGAATATTAGAAAACAATTATGGAAGGTAATAAAAGGTAATAATTTAGTAAGCACAAAGAATGGTAATTCAAAATGTACCTTCAGAAATGGATGAGGGTTATTGTGACGAGGCTGAGGCAGAGCAGCGAGGTCGGGGAAGAGAGAGGGAGGGAGTGAGAGCACACACACACACACACACTCAACTCGACACGGACTCAAAACGACTCGACAGACGCAGACACAAAGTGGCAAAGTGGAAGAGTCGCAAAGTCACAAAGTCACAATCTTGATTCCAAACACAATGTCGCTGCAAGTCACACTGAAGCACAAGCACTGAGGCCGAGAACTGAATCCCCGAACTCAGCTTGAGTCCGGTCTCAAGTACCGGACTCAAGTTGAGTCCGAGGGCAAAAGTGCAATTTGCCTCGGGGCTGCACTGAAAATCGAAGGTCTGAGCCTGGGCGCCAGAATGCCGGATGGTGCCAAGTATCGAAAGCCGAAAGTGCCAGAGGAGGGATTTGAGAAGCGCCAACTGCAGAGGGCGCCAACAGTCAGGAACCAGAGATCAGAGACTCAAAAATACAGCCTGGCGGGTGGTAACCCACGGACCAGGGATCGAGCCCTGGCTGAGTCCGTAACACTATCCCCTCCCTCTGGAAGGCAACGTCCCAGCTGCCAAAGACCCGATGAACAACTGTGAAGGACGGGATGTGGCCGATCACTGGTCAGAAAAGGAAAAGGGGAGTAATGCAAGTAGCAGGGTAATCCTATTGAGGTTCTACAGGGATGAGGGAATCAATGATCAAGTAACAGGGTAATACTATTGAGGGTCTACAAGGGTGACAGTAGCAATGTTCAGGTCACATGGTAATCCTATTGCGGTTCTACAAGTACCTGGGTAGTCCTATTGGTGTTCTACCTGGTTATAGGTTGTCAGGTTTGAGAGACACAAAAAAAAAAAAATGTTTGTTCAATGCTCAAGTGCTGGGGTGTCTGAGGGGTCTGGAAAAACAACGTCTCAGGTCTGTAACAAAGTGTCAAAAGCGAAAACATGTCTTGAGAAAGGTCTTGGAGGGTGTCGCAGAAGTGGCGGTGAGGAAGCAGTCTTCAGCAGTTCTGTGATATAGACGGCGAGGGCTTCAGCTTGATTGTCCCAGTAGCAGTTTGCGTCCGGTACACGATCTGATGAGGAGGTCTGATCCGGATAGCCGGTCGCAGACTGATCTTGGTGTCCATGTCAGAGGTGCTGCTCCAGAAGTCTGCGAGTCCAAGGCGCCAGCCAAAGGGAACAGCATGGTGGCCAACCAGCTGTCTTATCTCCTCGTACTGAGCTGCAGCATGCCATCGTCCTCGTGCGCTTGCCACTAGATCCATTATCGCCGGCGATGCGCTGGGGCCACATAAAGAACTTGGACAAGAGAGACAAGGATGTGGCGGAGGACAGATGGGAGAATGGGGCAAGACGGAGGCAAGAGCGTATCAGACAGGGGGGGGTTCAAGAGGCAAGGGCTTCGCTGGGTACAGGGGTGTGTGTAGAGCAGGAATGCGGGGTTTTGGCGGGGTCAAGGGTTTATGCAAGGGTTTAGGGTTTGAGTTCTATAATGTATCTAGGATATAGGGTGAGCACGATCATAGGCGCGAACAAGTTTCATAGCATTCTTAAGGTTAGCAAGAGGTTCCCATGTGGATTCTTCGTCAGGGTATCCTGTCCATTTAACTTTGTATTCTGTGATTGGTTCCGGGTGCTCATATACCTAAGTAGTTCTTCGTCCTATGATGGCTTCGACGATGAATTCAGGGCCTGTGGGTAACATGATTGGTGGGGGTCTAGGATATGGGCGGTCAGCGAATTAGGGTGGGGATTCATGGTATTCTTTTAGGTATTCTATGTGGAAGACAGGGTGGACACAACTCATGGCAGGGGGGAGTTGGAGCTTGTAATTGATGGGGGAGGTTTGTTCAATGATGGGGAGGGGACCGAGCCATTTGTTCGAGAGTTTCTTGGACAAGCCGTGTTCGGGTTCAAAGCGTTTGGCGGAGAGCCAGACTTTGTCCCTTTTTTTGAATGACACGTCACGTCTATGTTTGTTAGTCTTGTTGGCTTGTTGTTCTTGTGTTCGTTCAAGGGCTTCGGTAGTTCTCTGAGGAGTCTGTTCATTGTTGCAACCCATTCAAAGAGAGGTAGCTTCTTTGAGGAGTCTGTTCATTGTTGCAACCCATTCAAAGAGAGAAGGGCAGGGTGTGGAGGGGTTGAGTTGTGAGGGGAGCAGGAAGTCGGAGGGCAAGCGCGAATGATAGCCAAGGTCGACGTAGAATGGAGTCATGCCAGTGGAAGGACATACAGTATTGTTGTAGGCAATCTCGGCGGCGGTGAGCATACTGATCCCAATCGTGTTGATGTAGATGACAATACTTCCTCAGGATTCTTTGGAGAGTATCTGTAACGAGCGGAAGGCTGAGGGAGACAGAGAGAGCCGAGGGAGAGGAGAGAGGGAGAGAGGGAGAGCACACACACACACACTCACTCACTCGACACGACTGAGGGTCAGACGCAGACACACGGGCAAGGACACAAAGTCGAAGTCTTGGATTTCGAATGCCGAAGAGGAGCAAGTCACACTGAGTACGAGTACAGCAGCAGAAAACTGGTACGAGACTGGTCCCCGTACCATACGGGGAGCCGGTATAAGTACCGGTGGCACGTACGGTACCAGGGGCATTTCTGCAAAGGCCCCGAGGGCAGAACTGAAAAATGCAGTATTTGAAAGTGGCGCCTGAATTGCAGCATGGCGCCATTTGTCCCAAAATCCTACGGTACCAAAGGAGGGGTTTGGAAAAAGGGTGCCAGGCCGAAAACGGGATGCAGCCGAAACAGCAAAAAGATAGACCAGGGATCAAGCCCTGGCGAAGTCCGTAACAGTATCGTTCATCTTCTTACTTTGTCCATCAGTCTGTGGGTGGAATGCAGTGCTATACTTGAGCGTGGTTCTGCAGGCTTTAAAGAGGTGTTTCCAGAATTGTGACAGGAAGCGAGGGTCACGGTTGTCGATGATGTTCTCGGGGAAACCGTGATGGCATGCGACATGGTCAAAGAAGAGAATGACAACGTCCTTGGCGCTGTGCGATGTGGTGCAAGGGATGAAGTGGGCGCGTTTAGTCAAGCGACAAACAATGACATAGATGCAATCATGTTCGCAGTCGGTCTTGGGGAGACCACAAACGAAGTCCATGGAGATGGACTGCCACCGGTGGGTGGGGATCGGCAATGATTGTAGCTTGCCAGGCTTGACATGGTTTGAGGGGTTAAAGGTTTGACATGTGGGGCATGAGCAAATGTAGGCTTTGATGTCGTCGAGTAGGGAAGGCCAGTAGAAGTAATGAGAGATGGTGTCGAAGGTTTTCTAGAACCCGAGGTGTCCCGCAGTCTTAGCGTCGTGATGCTCGACCAAGAGCTGGGTACGGAGGCCACGTGCGCCGGGGATGCAAAGTCGGCGAGTGCCTTTGATGTCAATGTAAAGAAGTTGGTCGTGAAGGGAGTAGTCGGGGACTGAGTCGAGGTCACGAAGTTTGTTGTAGATTATTGAGAAATCCGGGCAAGAGTGGTAGCCTTGGGTGTAGTGGTGGTGGAGTAATGGGAGGAGGGATACGGGAGATAGGGAATGTCGATGGTTGTGTCAGGGGGGTTGGTAAGGCGGATGAAGTTGAGGTGGAACGAGTATGGCATGTAGCGGTCCAGCCACAGCATTCCCAAAACGATATCGCACGTTAAGTGCATGACATCGAATGAGACCTGACTTCGGAGGGTTCCAACAGTCATGGTGGTCTCCGGAACTGGTCTACTACGACGGCGGTGTCTTTGTCCCCTGAACGAATCGTAATCGGGGAGTCGTAACCGGTAGAGGTAAGACCGACTTTCCAGACACACGCGTCGGTGATGGAGTTACCAATGGCTCCAATATCGAGGAGGGCCCGAAACTTAGTCGTAGACGCACCAAGGGTGACGACGATGAATTCGAGGTGAAAGCGTGATGGGTTGGCGGTGGAGATGATGGTGTTAAGGCGGCGTTGTTCATTGCCTAACGAACAAGCCGATCAAGTCGGGCTTGTTCCTCAACAACATCAGAGAAGGTGACAGAGGATGGATTTGGAAGGAGGGTTGCGGAACATGTGGTGGTGACGGGGGCGTCAGGCGACGAGGGTTGCGATGCCTAGGGGTCATCCGATGGGATGTGCGGCACCAGAGAGGGGGGAGGTCGTCGATGCCAAATGGGCCACCGGTGGGGTGGAGGTTGTCACCGATGGGATGGCCGACAGACTAGTCGTTGATGTCGGAACGAGTTCATGGTGATCCTGGGGACGGTGTTCATGTGGAGGAGGGACCGGTGTGGCGGATGCGGAAGCTGTGGGTCGGGGGGCCACGGACCTGGGTGCCTGGCGTGTGAACTGTCCGGCATTTGGACAGTTTGTCTGTTGATGTCCTAACTGTCGGCACCAAAAACAACCACCCTTTGCTTGGAGGTAGGTTCGCTCCTCCGACGTGAGTTTCGTGAGACGGGTTGGGTGGGTGCTCATGGGAGGATGGCTGGAGCGTTCTCTCTTTTCCATTCACATGAGGTGAATGGCGGAGAGTTCGTCAGAGGAGAATGATGTGGTGTCTAGTGGATCAGAGAGGATGTCGGGGTCGAGAGCCAATAACTCGTTCGAGGAGGCAGAGAGAGAGGTTTCATCGATGATGTAATGAAAGAGTCGTGGACGGGGTGGGGCGGATGTGAGTGCGTCCTTGTACGGGGTGAGGAATTTGTCTAGGTGAATGGCACGGTTGAGGAGATCGGAGAGAGACATCGGGGGGTCGTGGACGAGGGAGGCGGCTAGGTCCGTGCGGCATCCCCGTTTGAAGCGGGAGATGAATGCAGCATCGCTGACGTAAGCGATGATCCACCTGCTAACATAAGCGTCCGGTATCTAGTCTCTCTTGGCCCACTGATTTCCTCAGTTCTTCGTTGATGTCTATTGGCTCCAACAAGGAGTTGTAGATATTTCTAGTGGTGAGCTTCTGGATCGGTACTGCGTTCCTTAGCATCTATTGTGCCCCCCACTTCCATCCCTTGGATCCCATGTCAGGTCCCAACATTTGGATGCTATCCGGAACAGTGGGTATTGCTTCTCACCCTTCCTCCCCCCTTCACACACCGATACTGTTTCGATCCCGTCCGTTGAGATCTGCAGTTCCTTTTGCCCATCCCCTGGCTCAGCCTCTTGGAGGGGCTCCCCCAACCCTTCGTAACCCGTGTCCACCCTCCAGCAAGTGACCCGTAGCCTTCTCCCATCCAGCACCCGCTCCACCCTGTATATGCTGGCTGGCCTCGGGTCCCCCTTCATCTTCACCCATTGTCCCGGGGTGATTTCATCCTTTGTGAACATTTCAATCCAATGGGGAGGGATAGCCTCCCTGAGTTCCTTCAGCCTTTGCTGACGCTTCATGCGTCCCTGCAAGGATTCCAGTAACTCTTCATCCCTTCGCCAGTCCCTGCGGATTTCGTCCCATAAGTGTCCCACTTTATAGATCCCTTGCACAACCCATTTCCAACCATACGCCCCTCTTGAGCTCTGCCATGGCAAGGGGTCTCCAGCAGCTCGGCATATAAACCTGTTTCCGAACAGTAGCTGGTTTTCCTCATACCCATTCCGCCACCCCCTGACCATTCCCTCCACCTCCTGACCATTCCCTCCACCCCCTGACCGCCTCTACCCGTTCCGCCCACCATTCTTCTTCAGTTTGTTCCCCTACAGGTCCAACGTTCAACTCTTCCAGTTTTTGTGCATATTCCTCCCCCTTTCTATGGTGCGCAAGGTAGCTACTACATAGTTGTTTGACCAGGGTGCTCCGCAGATCCTGGTTCGCTGTCGCCAGATGGCTCAGCAGGTTCTCTTGCGGGCAATTGTCTATCCATTGCTCCCAGAAGCGGACGATTGTCGGTCTAAGTTCGTCGCTCTTGAACACCCATGCCGGTACTGCTCTGGGAGGGCTGCCTGTCTCCAGGCTTCCTACCAGGAAAGTTGCCAACTCCGCGGAGTGGTCTTCGGGATTTATGCTCCTGTCTAGATGTTTTGTAAACTTCTCTCTGGCCCTTCTAACTGCATTTGATTCCCCTATATTGGGTTGAGTGGTGTATAATTTCTTGTAGAAACCTGCTACAATTCCCAGGAGTTGTTTTGGATTATTCCTTAATGTGCCTCCCTCATCCCTCAACTCCGCTATCCTGTTGTTGAGGCAATTTGATTTGATCTTCTGAAAGTAGAACTTTGATCCCCAGATACCTTAGCGGTTCTGTCAGGCGCATCCATTGCATCCCTTCAGTACCCGTAGGGGTACCTGGCCCTTCTTCCTCCAAGCCGGTCCATCACGAACCCACCGTCTTCGGCCAGCTGATCTTCATCGCGGAGGCCAACTGGAAAGCATGCATTTCGTCAGGGCTTCAAATGACGAGTCCAACGCTCTGATCAGCACTGCCAGGTTGTCCGCAAAGAGTATTGTCATCGGGATGTGGGTTTACCTGGATCAGGACATATCCCTAGCAGAAATACAGAGAGCTTTAGACTCCATGAAACCTAACAAGGTCCCGGGCAGAGACGGTTTCTCTAAAGAATGTTGGCAAGAATTCTAGCCAGTCCTTGGAGAGGACCTCTTTCACTTCTACCAAGAAGCCTTCAAGAAAGGCAGTCTAGGGGAAGACATTAGTACAGGGATAGAGACACTCCCGTACAAAAAAGCAGATAAGACAACCATAACAAACTATAGACCTATCACATTACTACCAGTCACATACGAAATATTGGCAAAAACACTAGCAAACAGAATAAAGAATGCCAATGACAAATGCTTTCACTTAGACCAAACAAGGTTCATACCGACAAGATATATACTAGACAATGTGATATGCATCAACGAGGCAACTAAGCTCATAAGAGATAGAAAACTACAGGCAACTATTCTTTTCTTTGATTTTGAGAAAGCTTATGATCAGGTTAACTGGGACTTCCTTCAGTGCATGGAAAAATGGGAGTTGGGCCAACCTTTTGCAGATGGGTGAAGGTGTTGTACTCAGAAGCAAAGGGTCAAGTGCAAGTGAACGGTTTCCTGTCTGAAAAGTATAAGATCCGTCAGACAAGGAGATCCCCTAGCTGCACCTATTTTCCTTTTTGTAATGGAAGCAATAGCAGATTTCTAAGAAACGATCCATCAATTAAAAAATTAGTGTCTCTAAACAGTTCACAAAATAGGCAATTCTACCTACCGTGCTCTTTGCTTTCGATCTCACCGTCCTTTTTTTTTTTTTTTTTTTTTTTTTTTTTCCCCTTTTTGTAATGGAAGCAATAGCAGATTTTTAAGAAACGATCCATAGATTAAAAAATTAGTGTCTCTAAACAGTTCACAAAATAGGCAATTCTACCTACCGTGCTCTTTGCATATGATCTCACCGTCCTTTTTTTTTTTTTTTTTTTTTTGAAAACCCCGGCCGGTGCTAGCGGTGCTGATACGAGCAGACACCGCTAGCCCTCGGGGGCTCCATCTATTGGTGGGGAGCAACACCTGCTGGAAACCGGGTCCAGCGTCCCTTACATAGACAAAATACAATCATCCTGAGAAAATGTGATATGCTCCTGCCAGCATTGATTACCCTGGATGCCAGGGGATTGACTGAGCAGGGGGACGCATGGTGGGCCTCTTCACCCTACACCAGGCGCCAGATTTCAGCTCTCTTCCTGGCTCCCCTTGCATCCATATTCTGAGTCGCAACACCTGCTGGAAACCGGGTCCAGCGTCCCTTGCATGAACCAGACTGCCTGCCTTTGGAAACCGGGTCCAGCGTCCCTTGCACCCCTTGCATGAACCAGACTGCCTGCCTTTCCCCTTTCCCCTGTCAAGAAAGTTCTGCCATCCTTGCTGAGATCATTCTGSCCCATACCACTGCATGTCCACTACCGCCAACTGGTGGGGAGGAAAGGGKTCGGGAAAATCTGACGGTGGCCGTAACGGAATCTCTTGACCCACCGCTGTCCAGTCCCTGAAACAAATCTGATAATCTTTAGTGAACAGCTCCCGGTCGCCGTCGTGATCTCCTGCTTCGTTTCCGGGAGCTTGGCCCCCATCCCATTTGATGAAAGCAATTCGGCCTCCATCTGCGCCGCCCAGCCAGTCCCTTGAAAATTGTCGGATTTTTTGTTCTGTTTCTTTTTTTGTCTGACATGAATCCCGCCCACTTTAAGTTCTTGGTGTATAAATTGTTTAATCAAGTCCGTCGTCTCCTCCCCGGCTATGCGGACTCCCTCCATAACATGTATGCAACGCCTCCTCCAGATCGCCCACATCACCGCTCTCCTTCCTATTTTAAACATATTCTCTTCAAAGGTGCTGGATGCAGTGGCGGTCCGTGTCTCACATAGCATCGTCCTCCAGTCCCATGGCCAGTCTGTACCGGTATCCAGCGTCCTCCAAATCCCGTCCCACCATCGCCGCGTGAGGACGGACCCCGGACATTGCAGGATAATGTGTTCGATGGTTTCTGGGATCTTCCGGGACAGGAATGCCGCGTGACACGATTTGCACCACGGGAGAGCCAGACCTTTTTGTTCCAGATAGGTACGATCTATTAGCCAGTCGTTAATAGGGAGACAACGGTGCTGTAGTGAGGCTAGCTTCGCTGGCCTGGCCCTTGTGAGGGAGAACCACCGAATGGGGCGGATGGCATCAATCCCGACATTCAGATGGGATCTCCATCGATTCTTGACAATATCCTTCAAGTTCACCTTAGGGCACAATAAGCGATAGGTGGCTTTAACCGTCAGGTTACGGAGGCACACATTCCGTGTCTGTAAGGTTCTGCGTGCGGGGGACCACAGCCACTCCTCCGGGTCGAGGGGGAGATCCACAATGTCGGTCCCTGGCTGGTATGCTATGCAAGCCTCCTTATCCTGTAAAACCCGGATCCTATATAGATCTGTATTCCGATACCATCTTATTACGTCCGGGGTGTACCTGGTTAATTTATTGCCACTGTCTTTGTGGAAGAGATTAACTAGCGTTTCCTCTGTGTGCCCTGTCACTACGTTTCCCACACTCTCTGAATCGTCGGGGACCGCCACCCAGTCCCTGGCCATCAGCCTTGGGCCTTTCCGTAAAATGCGCACCCAATCCAGGGGAACTGCGAAAATCAACGCCTCCAGATGACCTATATTATGGCAGTGCTTCAACAGCGGCCTCATCTGGGGCCCTGTCTTCCAACTTTTGCTCTCTGAGTCCCAAATATCCTTATTTCTGGTTATGCCCCTTTTAACCCAGCTGTTCCACGGGGGGTCGGAGCTGCGATAGACCCTTCCTTGTCGATCTATGATATTTCGGTTCCCGAACAGGGGTTGTCGAGCCACCTCCTCCCATTGAGTCGGCCCGGTTTTATCTGGCAACGGGAGTTGACGCCAGGCTTTCAGGCAGCGGATCCAAAAATCGTCCTTAACAAGATCGCTGCGGACTGTATCCCTGTTTGGGTCCTGGCCCACACGGGGGCGTCTCGGCAAGGTCCAAAAGCGGTCTTCCAGCCACAACAGAGGGTTTATTGATCGAGGAGCTGGCGGGCCGAGTCGGGCAATCTGTTCCAGCGCCAGGGCATGCCACGGGAGGTTGCAGGTGAACACCAACCGCTTGATCCACTGCACCATCAGTGCTGCGACCTGCGTGTCCGGGTCCAAAATACCCAGGCCCCCTCTATCCTTGGGTTGGATCACCGACGTCCAGGCCACTCTATGTATAGCATTGGTAAGTTCGCCGTTACCCCTCCACAGTAATGCCGTTAGTTGCCGTTTGAGAGACCGTATCGCTTCTTTGCTGAGCGCCCAGATTGCAGATTTATACCAAAGAGCAGCAAGCACCACATTGTTGATTACTAAGGCCCTCCCGATTAAGGAAGTGTGTTTGTCATTCCAGCGTGCCAGCTTCTCCAGGGCCGGTTAAAAAATCCAGTCATCATTCGACGCCGGTTTCCCTGTTGCTGTCAGCATTATTCCTAAGACTCTGACCGGGGCCGTTTCCGGGAGCCATTTAACCTGCGGTAGCTCGGGGGGGCGCGCCCCTTGGTGGTGTATCCACCACCCAAGGGTTTTGTTGCCCCAGTTAACTGTCATGTCTGAAACCATCATGAATTTATCAAACAGTCGTCTGATCTCTTCCATGTTCTCACTGGTAGCATCCATCATGAGTGTCAAATCATCAGCGAACATCGAACAGACAGGAATAGCTTCTTCCGGAATGGCAGAGATCTGCAACTTCCTTAAATTTTTGTTAGCACGGAGGTTTGCTGCCAGTGCTTCCATTACTACTATAAACAGGAACAGGGCCAGGGGGTCTCCCTGGCGGACCGACCGTTGCAAAGGAAAAGCCGGTGCCAATCTGCCATTGATTTGGACGCTTGTGGTGGCATTCTGGTGCAGGATCTCAGTCCAACGGCGAAAGACTGGGCCTGTATTCATTTTTTCCATGCATCGGTCTAGAAACAGCCAGTCCACGTGGTCGTAGGCCATCTCAAAGTCTATGAAAACCACCGCCGCATTTTGCTTATCTTGCCTGGTTAACTTAAGCAGTTTGTTCACCAGGAGGATGTTGTCCTGAATCTTGCGACCCTTGATGAAGCCTGTCTGGGACGGGTGGATAATCTGATGCAGCACCGGAATCAACCGGTTCGCCAGGGCTTTTGCCAGCATCTTGTATACGACTGTGAGCAGTGTTATCGGCCGGTAGTTTCTAATATCCATCCTATCCCCTTTTTTATGCAACAATGTGAGAACCCCTTGTCCCACCAGCTCCCCCGTGTTTCCGGTCTCCCACACCAAATTATAGAAATTCATGAGGTCTGGGGCCATCTGGGACCAAAAGGTTTCCCAAAATTCCTTGGGAAGCCCATCCGCACCCGGGCTTTTATCATTCTCCATCTGCATCATCGCAGTCCAAATTTCTTCCTTGGACAGCGACCGATCCAGTTCTGTTCTTTGCTGGTACGGAAGGGTTTTACGCAGTGGTTCCAGGAATTCCTCAATTTCCTTTTCTCTGACCGTCTTCTCCTGATGCGCGCACCTGGATGTGAATAGGTCCTTGAAAAAGGACCTTGCTATCTGCATACATTGGGGTGTAGAACAGGCCGCCTCCCTGGGTGTTGAGTGCGGATCATATAGCGCTTCTATCGTTGTTCTGCGCATGCGCGCTCTAGCCAGGCCAAAGAACTTTTTGTCCATAGAGCCTTCCTTTTGGTGCCATGTTAATCGGCCTCTGATACGGATACCTTCCCAACGTTGTGCGGCAAAGGTTTGGAGGCGCTGTTGTAGGATTTGTGTCTCTGAGTGTTTATCCGATTGTGTCTCTGAGTGTTCATCCGGTTGTGCGTCCTGTTGTGGGTTGTCCTGTTGCTCAAGTTGATGAAGTTGTAAGTGGATATTCATTTCCTGCTGATGGTTTCTTGCTGCTAATCGCTTAGAGTACTCTTGGCATTTCTTCCCTAGGAAAAAAAGACCATTATTGAACCATTCTATTCCTTGTGGGACCTGTTGTTTCTGTGTGTGCCAAAATGTCCAGCAGTCCTTGATATAGTGACGGAAACCTTCGTGCCGTAAGATCGGAACGTTGAGTTTGTAGAACCCGGGTCCATGATCAGGCTTCTTACGGAATGACAAGACAACTGTGCACATCTTGTGATCGAGTCCTGGATAGGGGCTAGCCGGTAGTATTGCTGCAAGCAGCATAGCCCCTGCCAGATCCTCTGAAAGAAGGATCAGGTCGATTCTGGACCGGGTCTGGTTATCGGTCCCGATCTTGCGCAGGCACGAAAAAAAGTGTGTGTCCGGATTAAGCCGTCGGAAGGAGTTGAAGATGTTTAAGGAGAGACTTAAGTCCCTTATCATCCTCTCATCCTCCTCCACGTATGCTGGGGCAGGGGAGGGGACTCACCATCTGTCCATCCAGCGATCTGGGGCCGCGTTATAGGCGCCTGGTATAATATCCGGGACACCGTCCGGTATCTGTGTTTTGATTTTCTCGAAAACGGCTCTTCTTTCTGTCACAGCATTAGGGGCATAAATACACAGTATACATACGATCTCCAATTCCAGGGTGACTAGAACCGATGCCCATCTGCCCCCTTCCTGGTCCACAACCCAATGCACCAGGTCTGCTCGGGAGTCGGGGGGGAACCAGATGGCCACCCCAGCACTCCCGGGCCTCGGAGCATGGGCTCTAAAAGCCCTATATGGCCAGATCATTTTGTGAATACGATCATGCTCTGGGGAACCTGTCAGGTGGGTCTCTTGGATACACACCACATCCGGCCAATCCCTACCTCCCACCCCTCTCATCAGATCCCATATTGCGTCCTTTTTTTCCATTCTGCACGAAGCTAGGCCATTTACGTTTAGTGACCGCAGGTCGAGGTCCGCCGCCTTACGACATTGATTCCAAACGTGATCCTTTCCGTATACCTCTTTGACCGGGTCCATTAATTGTGGCTAACAGATGCTCACACTCTAGTCCACGACAGCTGATCCCAATCCCAGTCCGCGGCCCCTGCTCGGAGCCCCAGCCTGAGAAGGGCACACAGGAGCTTTTGAACATCCTGTTCTGACCATACCTCACTAGCCCTGGTCTTAACTGCTTGCATGTCCAGCAGCTGTGGGAGGGTGAGCCATCTCAGGCCTGCATCCTTGTCTGGGTCGTAGCGGATGAGGGTGTCTCTTTGAAAGGCTCTTTTAAATTCTATTTCCAGGGGGGCAGTGGCCTGTGCTCCAGGGGGCATAGACTCTGCAATGTGCGTGTCCAGCTGCATTCTTAGGATGCCAGCTGCGGCCTCGGATTTGCAGTGTCCCGCCCAGAAGGAGGACCACCCTTGCAGTGTAACTCCTTTTATTTTGCCATGATCAACCGGTGTCAGGCCAACCTCCCATTTCCTGTTTTTCTTCCGGACTGGAAGTAGCAGCGTCGCCTCTTGTGACAGTGGCCCCGTGTCCTGGCCCATCTCTATCAAGTGCCTTAATTTCTTTCTTCTCACGAGGTCCAGTGGTGCGTCCTCATCAAGGTCCGAGGGGGCCAGTCCCGGTGGCAAGACAGGTGACTGAAGGATCGACCCCTCGGTCTGATTGCTTACCTTTGTCTCTTCTGCTGCTGCTGGGTGTGGTGCAGGAGGCGGCTGAAACCTTGCTAATACAATGGAGGCCACTCTGTGCCACGCCTCCGTCCACTTAATACCAGATTGCAGCCCATTTTGCAGGACGCCTTTAAGCGCCGCGCTCGAGTCCAACATAGGGAACAGTTCCCGATACGTTCTGTCCCAGAAGTCCGTGAGAGGGCCGTATTTCGCTTGCAGGTTAGTCATCAGCCAGTCCGCAATTTCAACCAGTTTCTGCTCTACCGGCAAATGCTGCGGCGGGATCCCCTCCTCCTCTCCCTCCTCACAAGGTACACCTTCTGGTGCTGCGCGGGCATTTTCCGGGAGTGGGTCAACCTCCATTGGTTCTGGGGCAAAAGCAGGTTGGAAGGGGTCCACTTCCACCATCCGGTCCTCCTGCAGCCCCCCTTCCTGCAACTGAACCTCCTCCCCCGGTCCTTTACACCCCGCTGCCACCTCCATTTCCTCCCCCATCGGCAGCACAGTGGGACTGCCGTGCGTAGTCTCGATCTGCATTGACACAGCATCGTGCCTCCCCACTTCTTCGCCCGCCCCCCG